AGGATCGCCTGGATGACACATGGACAAACGGTCATCCTTCACACAAAACATGGAAAGAGCATAACAATATGAAGAGATCGTTTCTCTCTCCCTCTCTCTCCCTCGCTCTCTCTCTCTATCTATCTATCTATCTATCTATCTATCTATCTCACACACACACAAACACACACACGTACACAAACACACTTCACAGTTCACTTCGTGATGCAGTTCACCACATATGTGGAAAATTTCCAGTGCAATCACTCTACTAAAAACATGACGTGCAATCGAATAGCGGTCACAGTATTCGCATTCACGCACATAAAACACATATACCAGAAATAACAGGACAAATCGACAGGATTCGACGACAGACTGTTTCGTCGGACTTTCACCGACTCGTCAGGAGGTTGGACCTCGACAGTCTTGACACCATTAACCCACTCTTGCCTCCGGCTACAAAACCCTCAAATACGTGACGGCGATGGCAGCGCTCCGCACAGCTCCAATGTTCTGTCATGTCCCAAAGGCCCACGCACAGATCGTTCGGATACATTCCACAAAAATGACCACTTGAAACAAAAGATAACAAGTACAACGGTGAATCTTTCCATTCTGCTAGGACATGGAGAGATTCACCGCTATAATTCCTGTCTTTTGCGCATTTCGAAGAATCAATTTTGTGGAATATCTTTTCGTGCATTTGAAGGGTCATTTTTGTGGGATATCTTTCCACGTCTTAAACGGAATGGAAAGATTCATTCTCATTTTGTACATTTGACGAGAAGCGCAAAACGAGGGATTTAAGAAAAGAGAAAAACGACACTTAACACATAACACATACTTGAAGAAGAAAGCCCTAGAGTCCAGAAATGAGTTTCCATGTTATAGGTATTGTTCTTCCTTTCTCGGGTTAACGACGTACTAGTTAACAGACCGGCAAGCATCGGATCAGATTTCTCCTGCTGATCTTCAGACCAGGTTCATACTCTAATTCACTTCGGCAGCACGTGAAGAGAAAAACGACACTTGACACATACTTGAAGAAGAAAGCCCTCACGAGTCCAGAAATGCGTTTCCATGTTATAGGTATTGTTCCTTCTTTCTCAGGTAAACGACGTACTAGTTAACAGACCGGCAAGCATCGGATCAGATTTCTCCTGCTGATCTTCAGACCAGGTTCATACTCTATTCACTTCGGCAGCACGTGCAGACGCGTTCTGACAGAATTAGTTCGTCTTTATCAAAGACCAACGGGCTATTTCTCTACGTTTGCCTGCACGATCGCCTCCAACCGCGCACGATGGACATAGAGAAACCTGACATCATACCCATTGCTTAGCTACAATTATAGTCTTATAAGATAAGATGATTGCTCGCCCGGAGGCGGACAGATATGAAAGGTAGCCAGACTAGATATGAAAGGTAGTCAAACTAGACTGAACACCATCCTACCTCGCGATGGACATCGCCCCCTCCTTTCCCACCCTCACTCCTGGGAGCTTCAGTGATCGGTTGCAATGGTGACAACGATTCGCGGGTCAACGAGCCAGAAGACAAAGCTTTCCCGCCAACGATTCGCTGCTCTCGTCGGACAACAAAGCTTTCCCGCCAAAACACGAAAAATGAAATGAATCATTTCCGTTCAGAGGCTTTAGCTATTACGAGTCTTTCCTTCAGGAGCGTACAATTCATCTCCGTAATCTACATCACATCATATCATAAATGATAATAATAATTGATCTCCCACAAATAATCCTCAAGCTTCCCGCACCCACAGCACGAAAAATGAATCGTTAAAATAATCAAAAATAAAAAAATAAAAATAAATCGTTCCCGTCAGCGGCTCTAGCTATTACGAGTCTTTCATTTAGGACAGTACAAATAACTCCATAATAATCTGCATTATATCATATCATAAATAATAATAATAATAATAATAATCGATCTCCCACAAATAATCATCAAGTTTCCCGCACCCACAGCACATCAGACATCAAGTACGCATTGAAGAAAACGAGGCAATCAGTGACTCCCCCCTCCCCCGCAGTTCAATCAGCATTCCTCCACGCATTTTGCCAATTTAAGAGGACCGACTGGAATCTTCCCCCAAATGTGCCTTTGAGTGGGGATAATAGAAGAAAAATGCAGAAATTCCGCTTACAAAGAATGCAAAAGGAGGTGACAGAAAACGTGAGAAAACAGAGCAAGGTGAGGAGACAAAATCAAGACTCTTGAGCAGGGACGCCTACTTAGCGACGAATGCTGAAAGAGGAAAGGCAAGGGAAATGCTGGAGGCGGAGAGAAGCGGCGATCAGACACGCAAGCAACGTACACTACATCAGTAGTCGGATTGGGTTGGGTGCGAATGGCGTTCGTCAAGATACATGCAGAGCGACTGAAAGAGAACGAAACGCGGAAGAGGTTGAGAGGAGATGGGAGAGGTACATCAGCGGACAGGAGCGAGCACCCGACGAAATAAGCGTCCAAAGGGAGGAAGAAAATGCAGAAACCCCCCCCGGTTCAAACAAGTACACCAGAACAGACTGGGTTGGCAAAAGATACTCCGACGATACAATGCAGTGGGGCACAGCGGACACACACTGAGAGACGAATGTCCTCCGACGACACAATGCAGTGGGGCACAACGGACACACAGAGAGAGACGAATGTCCGGAAGAGACATTACATACGACGAGAGCGTCGTCACAAGGATGACAAATAGCAACCGGACCACGCGCACGTGAACAACAAGCATTTTCTTAATCCTCGAAAAGGATTAGGGCAGACACACGATGGGGTAACCGATCAGCCCCACGAATACGCTACACGATAAATCGATCACTCAACCAGCCAAGCAATCACAATACCAAGCAGACAATCAAACAAGCCAACATTAACCCACTGAAACAGTAAGCAGCCAACCAAGGCAAGGCCACCACATACGCTCAACTTACCCGACACATTAGTCCAATTTGAGGATAATATCGATTTGAAACTCATCCTAGATCCGCTACTACAACCCTAAGACAAGATCTTGGGCCGCGATACAAACGAAGTGACAAATCGGTGATTAGTTGCCCTAGACGGCGCTGGGAACATGAGTGATGGATTGATCTGGCAATCACCGCAAACCAGATGGGATCTGGCTGCCAGTTAATAAATCAATCAACCATTACCCACCCAAGAACCAACCACCCAACAAACCCCCCACACAACTAACAACCAAGCAGCAACCTCGTCGACCAGACGCAGAAAATCAAACAAGGGCAACGCGTAGTATATACGCCACCAACCAGGCAAAAGAAACCAGTCGTGGCCGAACACACCTGGAAAGCGACGAGGACGCACAAGATCAACGCCATCCACTACTACCAATCGTCTGACGAGCGTGGATGAGGATACACACTTGAGGAACTCTTATCACGTACTGTATTTATAAGATCTGTCTGAGATACAAATGCAGACGGCGGAGAGGGACAGAAAGAATGCATGTCACAAGTAAAGAATAGAACTGAAGAAGACTGGGAGGTAGCCACCCAAAGACGGAGCGTGCACCTGTCTACACGAATGGCAAGCGAAAGCGTGGGACGGAGTGACAGACAGACGAAGCAAGACACTCTTTCCCACCCAAAGAAGAGCATACAGTGCCGGTTCGGGTAGCGACCAACCATCTGAGACCGACGAGGGACTGTAAAGAGAGGTCATAAACAACCAAGGAAGCACAAGGCAATATACAGACATACAAAATGTGACAAAGCAATCAAAACCCCCATCAATTATATCCCCTTGACATCCTTGACATCAAGAAATAGATTGCCTGTTAAAAAAGCCGGGAACCAAAATCGAATCTGGCTGCGAAGAAGACACGCCCGAGAGGCACAGATAGAAGAGACAATGACGACAAGACAGAGGAGAAGACGCATATCGATGACACAGGAAATTCAGGCGAAGATAAGGGCACAAGGATGATGATAATAAAGCACCAAAATTTGAAGCGGGGAGACGGTAGAAGGCGAGAAGAGATATGGAGGGCAAAGGCAGAATAAAAGATGGGGGAGAGAGGGAAAGGAAGGAGAAGACGTGAATCGAGGACCGAGGCGGTAAAGGAGAAGCACGTGGAAAGAGAGAAAACCACGCCAGAAACGAAGGTAACACCGTAGACAGTTCGGCTGGAGAAGCGGGGAGAGGGCGCTGTGACAGATCACGAAGGTACACCGCAGACAGTTTGGCTGGAGAAGCGGGGAGAGGGCGGTGTGACAGGTCGAGAATGAACGTGAGGACGCGGAGAGGGAAAACGAAGGTAATGAATAAGAAAAAGGAAAGAGGAGGGACGAAGAAGAGGAATGCCAGATGAGCAAAGCCCCATTGTCGTGAATGAAACATCATTGGTAGCTTGAAACGGCACATTACAGAGCAAGACGACGAATGTCTCAATGACATTGGACAGACCATGATTAGACTAGGAGGAGCTCGGGCGTTAAATTTCAAGCAGACAGATCACACAGCAGAGAAAGAGATTAGAGAGAGGCCAAATGAAAAAAATAAAAGAAGTGGTCACAAAATTTGCACCCACACGATACGACAAACGCCTGTCCATTCATATCCCAGCTCCCATTTTTACCCGCCATCCGCCTCTCTTCCTCTAGCGCTCTCTAATAACACCACTCATCATCCGGTTGATTGAATCAGGGTCGCCCACCTTGTCAAGCAACAGATCAAAGCCAGCTTACGTCACGCCACGCCACATAGTTCTTTCGCTGCAAATGCGGATCCACCAACAGGCGAAGTGCAATCTTCTTTTGCGGTGAGCATCTGCTTAACACTTGGCTCGGAATAGGGAGAGGATATTTACAGTCTGAAAGCATATGACATAAAGGTGTTGGGGGGGGGCTCCCCTCAAGGGAAGGGACAATTGATCTGACATCTACATCATGCATTAGGAAAGAGAAAAGAGGAAAGGACAAAAAGGCACAGAGAGATTCGAAAGAGGCGCAGAGAGATTCTCCAACTCTCACCATCGTCGTACGGCCGCTTGTTTGTTGCAATTGCGTTCATCGTGCTCATCGTGTTCATGGAGTAGCTGGGCTGAGGCGGCGCACTATAGTAAGATCCCACAGGTAGTAGCCCCATAGATTCCATACTGGAAACGGGATACTCTGCCCCGTAGGCTTCGTATTGAGGGGGGGGTAAGCCCACCCCCAGAGGCACACCTTGCATCCTCGTTGCGGGAGCTTGATAATCGAGATCTTGAATGGCGGCACAGGTATAAAAGGGCACACGCAGTGAGAGCGAGCCCGCACTTAAACGCTGCTGGCAGTGGAACGGCGAATCCTAACCGAGATCCCCAGTGAAATACCAGCGCACGCACCGAGCACTAACCGGTACAAACGAAGTCTAGGTACAACGAACAACAGCGATAACATAGACAAGGAGGTGCACGCTACAGAGGGAAGAATGGGAGAAGGAAAAGGGCGGGAAGCAAAAAAGAAAGAAAGAAATAAGAGACGACCGCCCAGAGGAAATCGCGCGATAGCGAATGCACGGCCTGAGAGGATCAAGGGAAAGGCATAGACAGAGCAAGGGTAGAGAGAGAGAGAGAGAGAGAGAGAGAGAGAGAGAGAGATGAAAACTGCCTACTGCAGCTTTTTCTTGGATATGGCAGAGGCCACAGAGGGTGGACTAAGTCTAAAGACCTTCCCGATGCAGCAGTGTTGGATCCGTTTGCCTATTCTCATGCAGCCAACCGCACTGTCCAAGGAGTAACAAAGCTCGCTTCAGGGCATGAGAGACAACCAAAGACTGGCCACGCCACTGCGCCGGCAATGGACGAGAAGCTGAAGCGCAGGAAAGAGGATCCACACGCAACGGACGCAAAAAAAAGGTTAGTGTAGCCGACCGATTCAAGGCGCCGAGGTAGATCCTGCGGATGCGCCAAAACATGACAGCAAGAAGTCAAGAAACGACGCTACCTAGACCGAGCCGAGTTGGGCGTCAGGGGGAAGCGAGCACGTAAAGTAAAGCAAAGCAAAAAATGGTACGGAATGAATTGTGCCGCCAAGTATTCAAGAACGCGAAAGCCTTTCCGACAGATCATCGTCCGCGTGGAATTACAGGACCGGCGGCCACTCGTCTAAAGATCCCCCCATAGCGCGCTCTCTCCTCGGTCTGCCGCCTTCGGTGATCGAGCCCTCAGCATCATCTCTACCCGTAGCTGGCCTCCAATTACCTTCCCATGCCTGTATTGCCCGCCATGCCTGCCTTGCCTCTGCGGGCAGGGAGCGCACCTTCCCCCCGCTAACGGCGGGTAACCCGCCCAAATTAGAAACAACCAACCGCCCGACGAGGCGCCGCCGGAACGCCACGACCACAACTACCACGGCGCGTTCAAGTCCGCCGCCCTTGATGCAATGCCAAACGCGGTTGTCACAGTGCGCCGAAAGACAGCCATCTCGCATCTAGGGTTGGAAAATTAGGGCCTCGTTCCACAGCACTTGAACCTGTCCTTTTTTTTCTTTAGGGAAAAAAAAAGTAAGCTGCATTCTTCTCTCAATTTCTTTTTCTTTTTTTTTCAAAAAGCTATATTCTTCTCTCAATTTCACCTCACACTACCGACCTGCCACTACTCCTAATTGTAGGCATACGGGAACCCCGTAGCAGCCAGAACCGTGTTCACGAGAGAACATGCGGGGGCTGCTCCCGACCTGCAGGTGGGCGATACCGGCTAGGGGACAGCCGGTAGCATCAGGGACCATGACAACAGGACCAATCCCTGTGCCTCCCCTCAGGTCCCCTCCCCTATGAACATCAGCAGACTGCTAAATGCCAATCGGGGGATCCAGTGGTCTATCTCTAGGTGGCGGGCGCCAGGCATGCCCAGGAAGGTACATGAGGCCAATGGGGATTGAACCCACGACCTCCTGAATGCCACTTGCAAGCCTTACCAACTGAGTTAGGCCGACCTACCTACCACTACTACTAATTATAGTCCTACGGGGAACACCGTAGCAGCCAGATCCGTGTTGACGAGAGAGAATACGGGGGCTGCTCCCGACCTGTTCGCAGCCAGGAGGCTGCGCTATACCTGGTTGTGTTTTGTCGCGTAGCGAGGACGTCTTTTTCAGGAAATGTCGACAACGGCAAAAGGGGTTTATAGGGCGGTAACATGGGTAATTGAAGGGTGCAGTCGCTGTCGGGGCAGAGACCGGTAGGCCGGGTGGTCGCAAGTGCGGTTGGAAGGGGGCAGACCAGCGGTCACGAAAAGCGGTCGGCGGGCCGTTTTCATGGACGGCGGCCGGTTTTCCATTTCGGGCGATATCGCGCGAGGGTGTGATTTTCGGAAGGCCGGGCCGAAGTGGGTTTGGAGGTATGCACAGCAGAATGCTGGCTTGCAAAATGCGAGCTACTGTGAGTTTGCCCTCGAAATGGAAAAACGAAAAACGAAAAACGAAAAAAAAACACAAAAAACAACCAGGTTGTTGCCGTGCTAAGTGGAGTGTGGCGACATCCTGAGATTGGGCCCGTTTCAAGAGTGGTGTGCCCAGGCCCGTTCAGAATCCTTTTCGTTCGGTGCGCTTCAAGTCCTGCCCGCTGGCCGGTCTCGCTCCCGAGTGGCTGCGCTTTCAAGTTAGCGCTTGCGTGGTACACAGTAAGTGGGCGATACCGGCCAGGGGACAGCCGGTAGCATCAGCGACCATACCAACAGGACCAATCCCTGTGCCTCCCTCAGGTGGTAGTCCCCTCCCCTACGAACATCAGCAAACTCTGCTCAATGCGGATCGCGGAATCCAATGGTCTATCTCTAGATGGCGGGCGCCAAGCATACCCCAGGAAGGTACATGAGAATGGGGATTGAACCTACGACCTCCTTGGTAGGCCGTTGCCCTTTAAATTGGTCGAACACTAATTCCACACCCCACAAAAATCGTGTCACTTCATTCACCCATGAGGCCCAAGGGTTGGCCCCCTGTTTTTGCACTTTCAAGTCACGGCATGGGGCAACCTTGAAACTTCTTGAAAAGAGTCCTTAGCGTTGTGCTCCATAAACTTGGTTGTAGAGGCAGCCTGTTAGGGGTTGATCCAACAACACTCCTCAACTGAAACCACCAACCACCACTCTCTTCCGCTCCTTCAGGCCCGAACCTCCCACGGAGCCTTGCCGAGCCTAGACGTACCATTAGAAAAAAGAAAAAATAGAAAACTACCGTGCAGTCAGAGGTTGAGTTTGAAAATGCTCTTGAGGCAAAAGGGTTGGTAATGGAGAATGTATATAACCTACAGTCTTCCCCCGAATACAACACACGGTCATTATAGCTGAATTTAAACTGAAAGATAAACCAAAGTCAGCTATAATGACCGTGCGTTGTATTCGGGAGAAGACTGTAGGTTTCAGGTCTGGTGGGGTGACGTGGGGGTGTGTTGTGTTCGCGGGATTGCCTCAAGTGTATTTTCAAATTTTTTCGTGACTGCGCCGAAGTCGTTCATTTTTACGGCAATCGGTAGTAGAATTTTCATACCAACCTCGCGCTAGCAGTTGACTCACACTTACCACAGCGCACGCATCTCCCTTTTTCCCTTTTGCAACGCTTTCGGTATGATTTGCGTTGCTACTTCCCTCTCGGTGCTTATTCTCGCAGTATTTTCTTAACCTCAATCTTCACCGTTGCACCCTTTTCTTTTCCACTTATTTTTTAATAGTGAGTCTTTTTGCACCATACCTGAGGGCACTGACACAATAACCTTATTGACTTATCGTGAGGGCACGGGTGCGCAGCCTGTAGTTTGTATATGCTTGATTGATAAAAGAGGCATTATTGGTGAGGTTTAGAAGTAGGGTAATTGACCATACCCTCGCACCTCTTCTTCCTCCTCCTCTTAGCTATACTCGCGCCGTGCGTGAGGAT